GGGGGGGGTGCATCTTACGCAGGGAAACGTGAGCAAAGACAACCCCAAGGCAGGAAATGATAGTGACAATCTCCAGGTGCGGGGAGAGATTAGTTTAGTCCCAAACTGAGAGTACATACAACGGGTTGTCGCACAAATCCGTGGTCCCTGAATGGAAATGCTTGTCTCAGAGGTCAAAACCTGAAAGCCATGCTAAGAGCACAGCATAACATGCCAGTAAAATGATGAATTAGGTGGGTTTTCTATGTTCCAGTAGATACATTTGGAAATTAATTTATTCTTTTTCTTTTCATTCCCCACAGAGTTGCCACCCCATTTGGAGGTTTTGAAAAAGCATCAAAAATGGTGAAATTCAAGGTCCCAGATTTTGAGCTACTACTTCTGACAGATTCCAGGTTCATGGCCTTTGCCAACCCGCTTTCTGGCAGACGGTCCTTCAACAGGACTCCTAAGGGGTGGATATCGGAGAACATCCCCATAGTGATCACCACCGAGGCCCCAGAGGAGCCCACCGTCCCGGAGTCGGAAGACCTGTGAGCGGACCGCGGCGAAGGCCGCGGGGACCCTGCACACACATGTCGCTTCTGTTATTCCATTTGCTGGCAAAGCCACTCACACTCTTTAGCAGCAGCAGCAGCAGCTCAATAGTCACTTAGCAAAGTTCCTCTTATGGCATTTAATTCCCACCTCGGAGCAAATACTAATAAACAACCCGTAATCTTGTTTTAAACCCTTTTTAGCTCACTTGTGTTCATTCCTCACTTTGTTTTCGCGTGGTCCAAACAATCCCACCTTCGACTGGGGAAGCCCAGATCGGACAAAAGGGTCCACCCTTTCTCCTTTCACACAAGCTAGTCTCAAATCCAGCTTTGCAAGTGGCATCTAGAATCAACACGCAGTGGAGATGTTCAGACGCATTCCGGGCGGGATTTAAGGGGTGGGGGGGAGGGAGGAGGCTGGGCTGGGCCCTTCCTGGTGACCATGGACCACAGCGTGTCTGGATGGAGCCTTTGCATGAGACATCTGACCGTTTCTAAGGGCCCTGTCTCCTTCCGCATGCTCTGAGTCACGCGGTAATTATCCCAGACATTCTCCAGAGTTCAACTGGGTTGTTACACCGGCTTCACATTCCACCAAGGAGACTGTGACCATGACTCAGGGAACCCACTGTCCTGCTGCCTCGTTTTAAAGGCCAAGGTTACCGGCCATTCGAGTTCCTCACACCCCAGTGCTGTGTGCCAATGAGGTTCAACTTTACCTGTACATTGTTAGGAGTGTGCAAGCAAATACAATGCACACTGCTATACCTCCAAGCAGATGTATATGTGAGAGGGAGAGAGAAATTTGAATTGGTCTCTGTCTTTGATGAATCCTTAAATTCTGTTCAAATCCTTAAGCACTAGGGAGTATAGGCTAGAAAACAAACAAAAACAAGCAACGGCAGGTTCAGCCAGTTGGCATGGCTCAGTGGTTGAGTATCGACCTGTGAACCAGGAGGTCAGGATTCAATTCCTGGTCAGGGCCCATGACTGGGTTGTGGGCTCAATCCCCAGTGTGGGGCGTGCAGGAGGCAGCCGATCCATGGTTCTCTCTCATCAGTGATGTTTCTCTCTCTTGCCCTTCCTCTCTGAAATCAATTTTAAAAAACAACAACACAGCAGAACACTAAAACCTCTGAAAATAACGTTACACACATCCGCCATGAAGTTTGTGAATACACTGGAATAGAAGACTCAAACTAACAAAGTTACAGATATGTCTCAAAATATGATCGAGGAAGCACAGAACTGGTAAGCAATAAACACCAGTTCTTCCCTTTTAAACTCAGTGAAGAGTTCTGTGATAGAGGTTGAAATGGAGAATGTCCCACCCACAGAAAACTACCTAAGATTAAGCTCAGGAGGTGGAAGAGGGAGTGTGCACAGCGGAGGGAGGAAAATGCATGCAGCCACACTGCTTGTTTACAAAGAATCTGCCTGTCGCACTGAGACTCGTGGTTGTCTTAATCACTCTCCAGCCTCTTAAGTAAATTTTAAAAAAATTTAATGAAAAATGTAATCCCTAGAAATGATATTAATATATTATAGTCACACATATTGTCATTGGTATAATTTAAAATATAACTTTAATATATATTATTTTATTTATGTTTTGGTGTTTACCTGTTTTATTAAAATAATTTGGCACCTGTGATAAATGCTAGGTATGAGGCTCCCATCACACCATTTTTTGGTTCATTTTAACCTCTTAAAAACAAAAATTACTCATATCCTATTAGGCATTTGCTGAAATGGTTTTGTTTTCATGGGCAGTTTGAAATGAGTTACTATTTTTCATTAAATTGGAATTTGATTGCATGGTTTTAACTACCACCAAGTGGATCACCATTCCATCAACCACCCAAAGGGGGCCAACCATGAGCTGTGTCAGCTACAGAACAGGCCACCCAGCACCACGGAGCAGACGTTAAAAGGGAGAAGCTAAGTGTATTTTTAAGATGAGGTGGAAAAGGATGGCCCACCCTTAGGTCACTACTGCATTTCCCTTTCCTGCAAGTGGCTGTTCATCTCGCTCAGCTGTCTGAAACCTTTAGAAGGGCCAACGTTTCACACTCCACTGGCTGTGCAATTACGATTTCAAAGGCATTTTTATTGGGTTTTCCACGGACTTGAAAAGCAGCGACATCTTTCCGAGTCTGAAGAAATACTACAGTCTGTTCAGAGCAGCAGAAAGACTGGGAGGTCTATTCCCCGCCCATGTCACGCATGAAACGTGGAATAAAGGGGTCAGAACATGAAGAGAACACGTGAGGGGGTGAGAGTACGTGTTGGTCGACTACTGGATGCCAAGCACGAGACTCACTGCTTGAGAAAGGCTCACTGAGATCTATTTTAACATTTCACTGGCACAATTACCCTGCGGGAAGGTATTCAAAATAAGCTCCGTTTTACCTAAGAAGATCGAGCCTCGGAGAACTGAGGTAATTCACCTGATTCTGGCTCAAAATGGGGAGAACTTGGCAAGTCTGACTGAAAAATAGGTAAGAACTCATGTTCATCACTTCTCTTTCAGAATCAAATTCAGCACCAAACTATCTTACTACATCTAGACCAGTGGTTCTCAACCTTCTGGCCCTTTAAATACAGTTCCTCATGTTGTGACCCAACCATAAAATTATTTTCGTTGCTACTTCATAACTGTAATGTTGCTACTGTTATGAATCGTCATGTAAATATCTGATATGCAGGATGGTCTTAGGTGACCCCTGTGAAAGAGTCGTTCGACCGCCAAAGGGGTCGCGACCCACAGGTTGAGAACCGCTGATCTAGACCAAAACAAAACACACACACACACACACACACACACACACACACAACACACACAGACTCACACACAACACACACACACCCCTCCATGGTCTTCACTGGGCAAATACGGTGCTAACTGAGGCATTCGAGTCACCCTCAAGGTCACCGGGCACTCACCCATGAAGGGCTGGCCTCTGGGACTGTGTTGGAAGTGACCTAATGAGCTCAGCAACATGAATGCCTGGCGATGCCATGAGACACAGAAGGGGCCCTGACGAAGGCGGCTCCTGTCTGCACAGCCTCGTGCCTGGGTCAGTGGAGCCTCCTCGGGGGCGGAGGAGGGGAGAGAGGAAAGAGAGGCACCCCAGTGACACCCCGAAGGCTGACGGCAATCACCCAGCATGGAGCACACCACGACACCCCTTTCAGTGAAGGTATCTTCTCCTTTCAAACGTGAGAGGAAGCTCTCCCAGCTCCCATGATCCTGTTCCAGGGCTCTGGGCCCTGAAGTGACATTTCCTGTCTCATGTAGCCAATTCTTGACGGTCAGCTGGCAACTGCTCTAACCAGAGCTCCAATGAACTAGAACGAAGCTTAGAAAACCAGCCTGCTTGGCTGGTAACTGTCCCCTCCCCTCAATAGAACAGTATTTCTCCAGACGCTGATGATCTCACTTTCCACTCCCTAATATTCGAAAGAACTTGATAATAAAAAATAAGTGTGGGCTGTTACAAGATCAAGTGCAAATACGGACAATGATTTTTTTTTAGTTGGAAATGACCATCTATTGTATCCACTTAAAATTCTACATTCTCTAAATGGATGCATTTCTAATCGTTTCAGCAGCTGGGACATGGAGGGAGCCAACTGCTCTCACAAAGGCTACCGTGGAGCCCAGCGCCTGGCGGCGAGCGTGGAAGGAACATGGTGAGCCTTCCAGCCTGGCACGGCCATGCCAGCCCACTGACTCATTCTGGAATTTCCTCGCTGCGCTGCTGATGCGTGATAACCCACATGACATCACTGGGCTCTGGCCACGGCTGCTTTCACGAAGCTGAGGACAGTCCTGCTTTGAACACCCTTCTCTTGTGAAAAGTGCTTTCCGCCTCCGCAGGCCCTCAGCTGCAGGGCCGGGGGCAGTGCCTTCCTGTGGAAGCGGGGCGAGGGGCCAGGCTTTCGCCAAAAGACCAGGGGGTCTACTCCCCACTCGCCAACCACAGCCTCCACAGACGCGCCAGGGGATGTGTGGGAATTAAGCTTTACAAGGTGACACTAAGAAAGAGGTGGCCTTGCCTCTGGATTTCAATGGCGTAGGCTGCAGTGTGATTAGAGAAGTGAAAGGGTGTGTCCTGATTTCAATTCCTTCAGCAGAAGAGCTCCAGCCCCCCCCCCCCCCCCCCCCCCCCGAATCCCCCCACTCCCTCCCCCTGCCGGCTGCCCCCCTGCCCCCCCCCCCCCCCCCCGCATGTGAGCTCTCCCCGGCTTCTCACTGTAGCGGGGTTCGACGGTGAGACTGGGTACCCGTGGGCAAAGAGGGAAACGCACGATTTCTAAGAGCTGACAGTTCAGATCCATAAAGAACGTGCTTGTTATCCAGTATTGTGTGATATTTTGAAACACATTTCAATGACAACCTACGCAGTGTCGGAGATAGAGACGGTTCAGGAAACAGGACCGGAAAAGCCAGAAGGAAAAAAGATCAATTCAATGTCATGCCCTATTTTAAAACTGCTGATGGGAGAATTAGCATAGAAGCTGCAGCACCAGCAAAATGAATACACAAGGACCGGGGAAAGGATGCCAGATGGAGCGGGCTGAGGAGGCTGAGGAGGCTGAGGGACACACGCCTGCCGCACAGAGTACGGCTCTGGCCTTGCCCCTCAGAAGCAGTGCTGTTCACACACACGCACTTGTCTGACGTGAGCTCTCTCCCAAATAGATATTCTCATCACACTTTATCAGAACTCACGGCGATAAGTGCCTGCTAGCTACCGATCTGCCGCAAATCACTGATACCTTCTTAAGCAATTTACTTCCCTCTGAAAGTCAGAGTTTCCTCCAACTCTATTCATGTGGCTCCCAGGCCGCCGCTGCCCGAAACCTTCCCTGGCCACCCTTACTGAAGAGACCACACTGCTAACCCCTTATCACGTGTGGTTTTTTCCTGATAGCACTTATGACTCCCTAACCTGGTGTTATTCTAATCCGGGTCCTCCGAGAAGCAGATGCCAAGATGGGGTCCAACCTGCAAAACGTGCATTAGGAAAGCTGCCCACATGAGAGAAAATGGGGAGAGAGTCCAGGGACCTCTTGTGGTTGTGTTCTAGACACAGACATATTTTAGACATAGACGTGTTCTAGACATAGACCTGTTCTAGACATGGATGTGTCGTAGGCATGGGCATGTTCTAGACATAGATGTGTTCT